CACTGGATGTAGAGTTTCAGTTTTGGAAGATGAAAGAATTCTGGAGACGGATGGTGGTGCTGGTTGAACAACAATATGAGTGTAATTAACACCACTGAACTGTACACACTTCAAAATGGTTACGATGTTAAATTTTATGTTACATGTATTTTACCATGATTTTAAAAAAATCAAACCTTGAAAACATTATACTAAGTGAAATAAGCCAGTGACAAAGGGGAAAATATTGTATGATTCCACTTTTATGAGGTACCAAAAGTACTTAAATTCGCAGAAACAAAGTAGAACAGAAATACCAGGGACTGGATAACCAGAGTGACCAGAAAGGGATTGTAGAGTTATTTCTTAAGGAGTAGTTTCTTTTGGGAATAATGAAAAAGTTCTAGGATAGTGGGGATAATTGCACAACACTATGAATATAATTAATGCCACTGAATTATACACATAAAAATGATTAAAATGCTAAATTTTATGTTACATAGGTTTATTTACCACAATAAAAAGAATAGTTTTTTTTTTAAACCACCTTGGTAAGAATTCCAGACACCTGGACAACAGGATGAGCTGAGCTGACCGACAGGGCATGGCCCAGCACAGATACCAAGAGCTCCTGCGGGGGAGTCTGGACAGCAGAATAGAGACAAGCCTGCCCAGGACTCAGGGTGCAGACCCCACAGGGCCTTGGTCCAGAATAATGGAGAACGGATCTGAGGGGTTAAACTCACGGATGTGTGGCTGTCAGGAGGGAGCTATAGAAGATGAATAGAGGAGGTTCACACAGGGAGTATGGACGTGAGAGGGAATGAGAAAAGCTGACCTCGAGCATCCAGGGAGCAGTGACCAAGACCGACAACTGGGGTCAAAAGTCCAGTCCCAGCAAATTTTAAAGAACTGAAGCCACACCAAGTTTATTCTCCTATGAGACTCCCCAAGACTTAAAATAGATGTACCATTGACCCAGCAATCCCACTCCTGGGCATATATCCAGAAGGAAGCCTAATTCAAAAAGACACCTGCACCCCAATGTTCACAGCAGCACTATTTACAATAGTCAAGACATGGAGACAGCCTAAATGTCCACTGGCAGACGACTGGATAAAGAAGTTGTGGTATATATATACAATGGAATACTATTCAGCCATAAAAAGACAACACAACACCATTCGCAGCAACATGGATGTCCCCAGAGAATGTCATTCTAAGTGAAGTAAGCCAAGAAAGGGAAAGAAAAATATCATATGATATCACTCATATATGGAATCTAAAAAAGAAAAAAGACAAATGAACTTAAATATGAAATAGAAACAGACTCACAGACATAGAATACGGACTTGTGGTTGCCGGGAGGAGGTGGGTGGGAAGGCACAGGCTGGGATTTTGAGATTTGCAGATACTGACAAGTATATATAAAATAGATAAACAAGTTTATACTGTATAGCACAGGGAAATATATTCAAGATCTTGCAGTAGCTCATGGTGAAAAAGAATATGCAATTGAATATATGTATATCCATGTATGACATTGTGCTGTACACCAGAAATTGATACAACATTGTAAACTCACTATACCTCAATAAAAAAAGTTTATTCTCCTATGACAGTGCAATTAGGCTAAAAAAAAAACACTAATAGAAAGATCATGAAGAAATAACTATATTACTTCAAATCACCACGTAAATTATAAAATATTTTGAAGCGGTATTAGAAAGTGCTAAGTATCAAAAACCTTTGGAATGTAGCTAGTACCATTAGAGGGACTTTTATAGCCCAAACGCCTATATTAAAAAAGCTTCAAAATCAATGCACTACACATCTCAAGAAACTTTCTAGAACAACAACAAAAAGAGTAACTCAAAGACAGAAGGAAAGAGATAATAAAAGGAAGAAACTAATGAAACATCTAATGAAGAATTATCATCAAAGACAAAATGATGAGTTCTCTGAAAAGGCTACTAAGATTTTTAAACCCCTAAAGGAACTGCATAAGGAGAGAGAGAAAGAGAGAGAGGGAGGGAGGGAGGGAGCAAACACAGACAAATCACCCATTTCAGGAATAAAATATAAGACATCAATGCAAATCCTGCAAAATGTGAAGAGAAGTTATTATAAACAGGTTTACGCCAATTAATTTGAAAACTTAGATAAATTTAGAGATGTACCAACTGCTAGAAAAGTAGAATGTAACAGAGAGAAGAAATAGAAAATCCAAATAAAGCTGTAAAATAAATTGAATCCATAATGAAAACCTTACCCTCCAGAGATGGAGAGATGCATGATAAATATAGCAAAAAGTCAATCATAAATCGGAACATTCTGTAACACCATATACAAAAGCAAACTCAAGATGGACTAAAGACCTAAATGTAAAATCAAATAGTTTAAACACCTAGAGGAAAACACAGGCAGAACACTTTGACGTAAATCACAGCAGTATTTTTTTGGTTCCATCTCCTAGAGAAATGGAAATAAAAGCAAAAATAAACAAATGGGACCTAATTAAACTTAAAAGCTTTTGCACAGCAAAGGAAACCATAAACAAACAAAAAAGACAACTTACAGAATGGGAGAAAATATTTGCAAGTGACACGACCAACAAGGGATTAATTTCCAAAACAAATGAACAGCTCATACAGTTTAACATAAAACAAACAAACAAAACCAATCAAAAAATGGACAGAGGACCTAAAAAGACATCTCTCCAATGCAGACTTACACATGGCCAACAGGCACAAGAAAAGATGCTTAATATTGCTAATTATTAGAGAAATGCAAATCAATACTACAATGAGGTATCACCTCACACTGGTGAGAATGGCCATCATCAAAAAGACTACAAATAATAAATGCTGGAGAGGGTGTGGACAAAAGGGACCCATTCTACACTGTTGGTGGGAGTATAAATTGGTGCAGCCACTATGGAGAACAGTATGGAGGGTGCTTAAAAAACTAAAAACAGAGTTACCATATGATCCTGCAATCCCACTCCTGGGCAGATATTCAGATGAAAAATTCTAATTCAAAAAGACACCTGCACCCCAATGTTCACAGCAGCACTACTTACAACAGCCAAGACATAGAACCAACCTAGATGTCCATCAACAGATGAATAAAGAAGATGTGGGAGATATATATATGTGTGTGTGTGTGTGTGTGTGTGTGTGTATATATATATATATATGCGCAATGGAATATTACTCAGCCATAAAAAGAATGAAATGATACATTTCTTAATCCATTTGCATAAAATGGATTTATTAATCCATCTGCAGCAACATGGATGGACCCAGAGATAGCATATTAAGTGAAATAAATCAGACAGAGAAAGATAAATATCCTATGATGTCATTTATAAGTGGAATCTAAAAAAAAATGATACAAATGCATTTATTTACAAACCAGAAATAGACACCCAGATGTAGAAAGCAAACTATGGTTACCAAAGGGGAAAGGGAGGCGGGGAAGGGATAAAATAGGAGTTTGGAATTAGCACACACAAATTACTGTATATAAAATGGATAAACTATCAGGACCTATTATACAGCACACAGAACTATATTCAGTGTCTTATAATTATAGATTACTATATAAATATATATATAATTGAATCATTTTTGCTATACACTTGAAACTAACACAACACTGTAAATCAATTGTACTTCAGTAAAAAAATAATGTTTAAAGGTCTTGGCATAATGAGAAACAAAATCATGTAAATGGAGCCTGTGAAGGCCAAGTGGAAAGACTGATCATTAAAGCACATATTTGAAAAGAAAAAACATTAATAAAACATTTGGCAATCAGCCAAGATACAAATACAAGAAGAGTGTGAAATTACATGTTTGGAGAAGGACTTTATGTGGCCCAAATTTTCCATATGCCAAAAGAAAGATTTTTTTTTTAAACAAAGGACAGCTTCTCTTTAAAAAAATAAATATAAGACAGCTTCTCTTTGGAATATAATTCCATTAAGTCCTTTTGAAGTAAATGAAAGACTAGAATGAAAGCTACAATCATTCTATGAGTTACAGACTTTAATATATGCTTCTTGAATAACGATCAGAGCTAGGACATCTGTTTTTTTTACATTTTTATTTAAAGTTTCTCTTTTAGGCTCTTATTCATTCATTAAATGCTTATCAAATAACTACAACACAGCAAGAATGTTCAGAGACGGAAGCAACTCAGACATGTTACTGTCTTTGAAGAGGTTTTGATTAGGCAGGTAGAGATTTATGTGGAAAATTAAGCATTATAGGTGAAATGAAAAACATTTGTATAGAGTTAAATGTTTATAATAAAGTGGAAAAATACACACAAGCAAAATTGCACATAATGTACTTATGAGTAACATACATTTTTCATATATAGAATCCAAATAAAATGAGTATTTGAAACACACACACAGAAATGTCAATCATAGGGGGTACCTGACAGCTCACTGCAGAATTTTCAAGCTTCTGGATGTATGTTTGAAATTTTTTGAAATAAAACGTCATAGGGTAACCTTCCTACACTCAAAAAGCAAAACAAAACAAAAAGCCCTTCTGGCCTAAACAGCTTCACCAGTGAACCCTGCTAAACATCTCAGGAAGAAATAACACAATCTTGCACACACTCCTTCAGAAGATTCAAAAAGAGGGACTACTCCTCCGACAAGGTTTTAAAGTCAGCAGTCCTGATACAGGAAAGAATCACACAACAAAACCTAAGACTTCTGTCCTCCACGGCCTGGACGCACCTGAGCTACAGCCCTGTAGGAGGTGTGCCCCTGGGTGTGGCCTGCGGACTCTGACCCCCTCTGCCAGCCTGGGCGCAGACAGACGACAGGTGCAGGCGGGCCCACCAGGATGAGGCCACACCCACCAGCATGGCCAGTGCCACCTACATGCTGCCCAACACTGGGCGGGGGCCTGCCGCTCTGCCGAGACCGGGGGCCGCAGCTTCACTCCCACCCCATCCCTCTGGCCCCGGGCAGCCCACTCCCACGGTGCCCCACTTACAGCCCGAGCCTCGCCAGGGGCCGGGGGCCGGCCTGCCGCGGCCTCCATGTCATGCAGCTTCTGCGTCTGCTTCAGCTGGTTGAGCGACGGCTTCAGCGGCGTGGCCCCCACCGTCTTGCTCGTCCACTCGTCCACCAGTTTGTGCAGGTCATCCGTGAAGGTGCCTTTTTTGTTGTTGCTGTTGTTTACCTGCGCCTGGATGTGCAGGGCAGGCTGGGGGCCCGGCTCAGGGCCCGGGACCAGGCTGCTGGTGGAGGACCCTGGGGAGGCACACACACAGGCCACGGTTGGTGACACCACACGCCAGCACCACGGACGGGCTGCAGTTATTCAGACAATGGTCTCGCTTAGGCCAGGCAACGCCTTGCTTCAGGAGATGGTCTGCACTGGGGGTTGGGGGGGTCCATGCATCAGTTTTAGACACGAGGGAGCATTTCCATGGACCATCACCCCATGTCATCAGCCAGGTCAGGGAACAGGACTCCAGCTGCTGGCAGCCTCACTCAGCATCCACTCTGTGCCCACGCTGCCGGAGACCATCAGACTCCCGTGTCAGAGTGCACAGAACTCCCGGTGCAGCTGGACACAGACTGGGGGCGAATTCCTCAGGCTTCTCAGCTCTAAACACAAGGATTTGGAGAGGAGCAAACAATACTTTGGGCAGGGTGCTTAGTAGCTGCCACTACCCGTCAGCAAAGGGAAAATGCTTGTGACAGGCTGGATTACTGATGCTCCTGGAAATGATAATGACTTGGTGATTTGGAATTTAAGACAGAAATCGCGGCTCTCCTCACCAGATCGTATGGTAATAAGTGGGTGCAAACACCCAGAGCCTTCTGAGGTGGGCTCAATGTCTGGAGCAGGAGGAAATGGGAGTCCCAGCTGCCCGGGGAAGCCTGGGGCTGCGGCTTAGGTGGCATTGGACAAAAGTGAGCGCACTTGGCCACTTCACCGAAAGATCTTTTTTAATGGCCCAATCGGGACTTTTTATTTTATTTTTTAAAATTGTGTCCCTTTCCTCTCCCCAACGCATAATTTCTGGTTGGCAATTTTGAATAAGCCAATTTTAAAATTTTCTGCAGCAAGTAAATGACGTGGCGACCATCTCTTCAAACAAGCCACTGCAAAATGTAGTTTACTTTAGAGGCTAGCAATGAGAAAGCACAGACACAAACAGGTAAACATCAGTGATGAGGTTTCACACGAAGAGCTATTTCTACATGAACATTTCAGCCAGAAAAGAAAAACGGAAACATTAAAATAAAAGAAGGAGGGGAGGGGGGAGGCACAAGATGAGAGCAGTGGGCAGCCCAGGTAAACTGATACCCATTTCGTCCCGGCATCTCTCCTCTGAGTGGGGGGGGGGCACTCATCTTTAACGCTTCGAGGAAATACTCATTCCTATGGTTTTTGGAAAAGGAGCCAATTAATGACTAGTCATGTGTGGGTATTCCGGAGTAGGAGAGCCTGTTTGATATAAACTGGTGACGATGCACAAACTCTAGGAGCCATGGCGACTCAAAAGGGTGCCCAAGGGTGGCTGTCTCACCGGGCGGAGGCCAAGCAGCACCCGCGGCGGGTGGGCGCAGGGCTGACCCACGCCCACCCACCCACTGGGCCCTGAGCTCCAGGTCCAGCCATGGAAACCCTGATGCGCACTAGCCACAGCAAAGCTCATGCGATGGAAGCGGACAGGGGGTGAAAAACCCGATAATTACGACTGCTGTGTTCTTTGCCTAGACAGAGACGCTTCAAGGCAGACCCTGCAAGGGAAGAAGAAATGACACAAGACCACAGGGTTAGGCAGGACAGCACACAGCGGGGACAAGCCACCACACTCTAAGCAAAAGTCATCAGTGTGCGAGGAGGAGCAGAGGCCAGCAGTTCAGAGAAAGGACCAGCCTCCTGGGGTAACTGGGCGGCCCCCAAGTCAGTGTGGAGGTTCACATGAGCTTCGCCGAAGGGCGGAGGTGCAGGGCCAAGCCCCAAGCTTCAGGTAGAAGTGTGTGTGTCTCTAGAAGCATATTCCAAAAAAAAGAAAAAAAGAAAAAAAAAGAAGAAGAAAGAGAAAAAAAAAAAAAAAAGCAAAGCACACCGCTTGGTTTTCAAATGCAAGGTTTTTGGGAGCCCCACTGACGGGGGCAGGAAACCCATTAAAAGTCAGCCAGGAGAGCTCTCAACAGAGTCGAGCCCAGCTCTGCCTGGCATGAGGCCCATGGGCGGTTTTCCAAGTGCAAAAAGATACATTGTCTTGCAGGTTTGAGGCCAATCCCGGATCCTGGATGGCTGCCCTGAGCAGGCCAGAGGTGAGTGTGGAGGGGGAAATTCAAGGGGTCCTATCTGAGAGGCGGGAGGCAGGGCTAACCGGGACTCCCTGTTAGCGCTGCTGTCTGGTACTCCGTGCCCACCAGGGCAGCGCGGGCCTCCCTCACGGACCAGCACTAACGGTGCCGCACCCTGCACCCCTCAGAGGCTGCCTGTGCTGAGAGACAGGCAGTACGCTGGCTTTAGTGTCTGGCACTGATGGTCAGTGCCCACCTGGAGGGCGGGTGAGCTGGCTGGGAGGGGCTGCACACCGGCTTACCCTGTGGCATTCCAGGGAGCCAAGCAGGCAAAGACAGGGCAGGTAAGGACAGCTCAGGTATCCCCAAGGTCACTCAGCAAGGCCACACAAGCACAGAGGGTCTGTCTGTGCTCCCGCTCACGGCCCCTCATTTGGAACACGATACCCTGTACACCCTACACTCCCTAGACGGTGCCCATCACAGCACGCTCTTTATGCAAGGCAAGACACTGCCTCTTGTGTTTGGGGACAGGGACAAAGGGCAGCCCAGGCTCCCTGGGGGAGAGCTTTGCGCGCTCGGCTCAGAAACCTAGCTCAAGCTGAGTTGCACTTCCTTAGTTCATACTGTGTGTGTTCTCTGAGGCTGACTTGGTAAAAAGGGAGGGGATGTTCTGTTGGGATCTCTATTGCGTGAATAAAACCAAGAGGGCCAGGCAGGGGCAGTCCAGACCAACTGATTTTCAGTGGGCGCTTTGAAGGGCCTTAATTGGTCTGTGTCCTGAGATGGACCCCAACTTGGAACACAAGGCCCTTTGGGGGCACCAGGCACCAAGGGAGGAGGGTCCTGGGCTCTCTGTGCGGGGCACAGACTGAGTGCAGATTTTCCCAGCTGGGTTCCTGTGGCCGCAGCATCCTCTGGACCTAGGCAGCCTCCCAGACAATTCTGCCAGGTCCCTGCTGCCTAACGGTAGCAGGTTCTTTCAAACAGCTGCTCTGTGCCTGCCAGGCGACTCCCAGCTGGCGAGAGCTCTGTGTTCAGGGCTGCCTCCCGTCACCCTCACGGGAAGCACATGCCAGCCAGCCACAGGAGCTGCCAGCTCAGAACTACTGGAGGGAGCCTGGGCCTGAGATCAGGCCGGGAACCCAGGGTGGAAGCCACTGGCCACCAGGGCACTGTGCTCAGAGCAGGGATCAGCCTCTCCATCCTCGCTGGACAGAGCCCAAGGTGACGAGCATGTGTCTGCTCCCGGCCTTCCACACTCTCCCCGGTCACAGGCCCTCAGGTGACCAAGCAAAGTCGGCTCTCAGTCCTTAGGGTGGGTATCTGAACACACACCAACCAGATCTGAGTCCCTCTGCACCGAGTGCAGAGCCACAACCGAGCAGGCGTCATGTAGCTGGTAACCAGCCGTGACTCACGCCAGAGCCCCGTCCCTCCGCACAGGAGCCTCCTCTCTCACGTCCGTGCGCGGCTCTGGTCCTGCCCTCAACACCCACAGCGCAGGCGGCATCTGAGGGACAAGCCCTCACCCAGCCCTGCTCACCTCGCTCTCCACACAGGGCCCACAGGAAGCCCACATCAGACCCCCGTGGGGCAGCCCCGCCACTGGTTTCCCATAAAGAGTGGACTCCTCCCCCGCAGGACGTCTGTCCTCTGTCATGGGTATGCAAGAGCTGGCTTGGAGGCCCTACAACTACTCAGAGAAGATTCCACACGAGCAGATCCTGGGGACGCGGGGCTTGGTGGCCTCTCCCAGCTACTGGGGAAACTGTTCTTCCCAGACTGTGAAGGGCACCGCGCAGGACGACCTAACATCTTGTCCTGGTGCAGCACGTGTCTGCAGGGGCTGCCCGCTGCCTGCCCTCACAAGCCAGGCCAGGGTCTCAGGCAGCCCCCAGGCCTGCGTGCAGGGAGGCCTCTGCCCCTCTGCCCCTTCTGGCACAGAAACACAGGCTGCTCCTGGTGTGGACAGCCAGCCCTGCTGGGCACCCACTGCCACCCAGGCCCTCGGACTGCTCGAAAAATGCCCCAGATCCAAGAGTATCCGATGCCAGGCCCTGCAGCCATCACCATGCTTTCCCCTCTCAGTGTCCAAATACTAACGACACTCATGAGGAACTGGGGACAGCAGCCTCCGTGCAGACCAACCAGGGGCCTCCCTGCCTCCCCCATGACAAGAGGCGCGCCTCTGACGGGGCGGCCTTATCCCCCAAAGCAGCATTAGACGCCATGTTCAGGCCCCGGAGAACAAATGGGCGTACAGAGCCAGCACACCATTCAGGGTGTCTCTGTATCAAGCCACCAAGTTCTCAAGCTGAGAAAAGTGCCAAAACTCATCCATGAAGAGCGAATAGGGAAGCGGGATGTGTCTTGGCCCTGCCCTGGGGCGACTTCACCCTGGCCTCATCAGCTGGGTGGCACGGGGCTGCCCCGAGGACAGCCCAAGCTGGGTGGTGTCCCCTCCCTGGGGGTCCTCCCCTGGCTGGGTCCCCGCAGGGAGGGACCAGAACATTCCAGGGTGAGGGAAGGGCCTGGGAGGCTGCACAGAGACACCAGGGTTCTTGCTGCAGCGTGGACACCGGCCTGCAGCAGATGGATGCACGAGAAGGACACAAAGCAGGCACCGTTCCACGTGCACAGAGAAAGCCCTGGAAGGCACCCGCGCCTGCCTCTGGTCAGATGGTGGGGGGTTGCCAGAGGCAGGAAGGATCAATGGGTCTGGTGACAGCTTCCGACCAAAAGGACACTAGGACACAACCACTTCTGTAACCCAACTGACTCCCGAAACACGGTCCCCAACCCTCCACCGGCCGCAAGGCAGGGTCTGGGACCAGAGCCTCCCTCCCACGCCTGCCCTTCTCTGGGGGCCCACCCTGAGGAGGCGCCGAGGCTTTACCTTCCCCATGCTCTCCATCCTGCGCATGGTTGCCTCTCTCACCTCGAGTCACCCTCCTACCTCCTGAAGCTCTACCCCAGGTGCCCCACCCATCTCCCACCCCTCTCATCTTCTCTGAGCTCCATGGGAGCTAAGACTTTCTGTACTTCAAAAAATAACTGGCTTTATTTTCCCAGGGTCTTGTATCCTGTTCAGCTCCAGGTAGCAAACTAAAACGCTCTCTAGGCTTCAGCTCTGGGCTGGGCCAGCTGCCCCCCTACTCCCACAGCCACGGCCCTCAGCACCCAAGCTCCAGCTCCCTCCGCGCCTCGCACACGACCCAGATCCCACCACGTGGGCCCTTCCAGCCGCTCAGCTCCTGCAGGCTGTCCCAAATACCCTCCTCTCTGCTGCCTTTGCCCAAAGTCTTCCTGCCTCTCAGCTTTCAGGGGGATGCGGCCAGCTTTGCATTTCCCTCAGTCTATCCAGGCATGTGCTCAGCCTCCTCTCAGATCTCAGAGCTGCCTGGCCACCAGGAACCAGCAGACGGGAGAACTCCCAGAGGAGTTGGAGAAGGGCACACAGGACAGGAGAGGGTGCCCCGGGGTATCCCATCCCATCAGAGCAGCAGGGCGGGCTCAGGCAGAGTCTTCACACTCGCAGTTAGAGGCTGTGAGTGAGAGGGCCGAGGGCAGGGACCCACAGCAGTCTCCCGACCAGCAAGCTCAGGGCTTGTAGGGGCCACACTGTGGCCCAGAAGGACTAGAACTCAGCCAAGTCTTGACTAAACGGGCCAGGATGTGCAAACAAGCAGTATCGCTGGATTCACAGCATCAGAGGAGACAAGGCCAGTCTGTGCCACTGCCTTTGTCCCTGCTATGCCTCAAAAAGAATTTTTTTTTCATTTTGGAATAATAGTGAAACAAATGAAAATACTAAAAAAAAAAAGCAGAACCACATGGGTAGAAAGGCAGCCTGGCAATGGCCTCAGAGGTGTACACGGCACTGACCACTCGCACACTTTTACCCCAAGGGCCCTGGGAAAACTACCAGCTGCTCTAATCTGCTTCCCATACCCAGCCGGCAGCCCTCCTGGTAGTGATACACACACTCGTCCGATGGTGACACACCTAGAGACCCAGGTGCCCTCAAACCACGGCTTTCCAGGTGAGAGCCAGACACACATGGGCAGAAGAGGACCAGTGATGGCTGTGCTGAGCCAGGAGCCAGGATGCACGCAGGCCTCCCAACCCCCCACCCCAACTCGGCAACTAACCAGCAGCCTGATCACACTCAAGCCGAAAAGGGGCACCTGTCAGCGGACAAGGAGCACTTGGCAGTCCCTGGACACTTCTGTGTGGTCCTGGCGCCTCCGACCCGTCCCTCCCGGGGGAGGGTGCCAAGGTTCCTCTGATGGGGATGGACACTGAACTCTGACGGATGCCTGCAGTGGATGTAGCCTCGGATCCCAACAAGCACAATGTATCTTTATTGTACCAGAAAAGCCACATGCCCCAAACCAGCATGTCCAATCCAACTGGTAAAAAGCTTAATTTTTCTGCTAAAAAAACAAAAACCTGAAAGCCTCACAGCTTTTCATTCATTTGCCAATTGGTCTGAGGGATGATGATGATTTTGGACAGCCCCGAGCAGGTGCGCCATTCCTGGACACAGAGTCCCTGAGCACTAGGAGGGTGTTCCAGGGAACCTGAGGATGACTGGGACTGAGTTTTGGTTTAGCAGAGCTTGGAGGAACTGCGTAATTGACTTCATCTCTGAGGTCCATGAGATGAGAGGGAAATACACCAAGTAAAGTGCTCCAGCTAGAGAGACGAGGTGGGGCCGGGCCCAGGAAGAGAGCCTCGGTGGGAGGCTGGGAATCACATCTCTCGGGGTTGGAGAGATTTCAGTTCAGACCAAGAGTGGAGGCGGGGCGGGGCTGTGGCTGTGGCATCCTAGCTGGAGCACGTTCTCTTAGCATTTCCACATGCAGGGGGCGGGCAGTGGGTTAACAGTACTGAATGTTGTGATACGGCCCTTGTACAGAAGTTACACCCTCCAGTGACCTTCTAGAATTGTCTCGGCTCGCTACATGCATGTCTTCAGAGTCCAGACACGTGTGAAACACACCATGCGTCTAGAGAAGGCCGGGGTTGTCTTTTTGTTGTCGCTGGAACTGGGGACAGCGGACATGTAAATTTGCCACAATCGCAACAGAAATAAACTTACGTCCAACATAAAAAAAAAAAGAAAACAAAAAAACCCAAAAAACACCAAACAAGTGACGAAGAAAATAATGCAGAGCACTCTGAGATCTAGGGGCAGAGCGCCCAAGGCCGGAGTGGGTGAGCCGCTGCACATGCTTCTGGTGTCCGGGCACAAGCCAAGAGCATGCACTGGTGCTTTCCGGGGCCAGAAGGGTGGGCATGGACGGGGTTCCATTGTTTATATTAAATAGGTGATTTCAATGGGGGAGGGGGAGGCGTCCTACAAAATGTATGGAAGGTAATGAAGACAGGGAGGGGCAGGGGAGAAACCAAGGGCCAGGAGGTGATAAAATACAAAAGAACAAATACAGACAGATGGACACAGACACGGGTCCACTGAGGAATCGAGCGCGAGGTTTGCTACTAGACTTATAGGTCACTCTCTCAGACGTTGGGTGGTAAACCGTCCAGCCTGCAAATGAATATAGAGGGAAGAAAACAAAGAGACAGGCATCAAGTACAGTCTCTGGGATTCCTCCTACACACCACCAGCCACATCCGCCTCTTCACTTAGCGTCCGCGGCTGCACCTAGCCCAGCCCGGAGGCCCGCAGCCACTGACCACGCAATGGAAAGGAGGCAACGCTGGAGCGGAAGAGAAGCGGACCCCGGGAGAGCGTGCGGGCGGGCGGGGGGGGGGCGGCCAGCCGCGGTCACCACGACTTCTCTGGACAGAGATGGCAGGGGCTGGAGCACCTCGTCGCGAAGCTGCTGCGTCCACGGCAGCGGTGACGAGCCTTTCCTCCTCAAGGCCCATCTCCCAGCTCGAGAGCTGTGCCCTCGTCCCCCCAGCCGGGCCTCCTGACGGAAGGACCCGCGTTTAGTGGGGAATGGGGTGGGGTGGGGCGGGCCCGTGCCTGGGAACCAGCGCAGAGCACACAGCGGATGCCGCATCCGACCTCTCGGTGGTCCCGGCGCCTTCCCCAGGCCGGCTCTAGCAAAGCGCACCTCCCTCTGAGCCGCTCACAGCAAGACTCCATGATGGGCAGGCCATCCACTCTTTTCATTCAAAAGCTACGTCTATGACTTCTGTCTGTGAGAAGCTGTCGGCAGCCCTGGCCGCAGCTCACGTCCCCTCTATGCCACTTGGGCCCTACGAGGCTAGCACATGCTCGGAGACGGGCGAGCTGGGAATCACCTGGGCCGTGCGCTCCGCCTCCGTCACTGGCCAAGCCGGAGCAGATGTCTGCAGACAGGGAGGCCCGCATGGAGCAAGGCTGCTGGGTCTGAACTGCCTTCCCACATGGGTCTGAAGCTGCTGTGGGCCCCGCCCCAGCTTGGGCAGGGTCCTTAGCAGGAGGGGCTCTGCTGCACTCTGACAAGTGACCTGGGTGGAGGGGGAGAAGGGGGTGACAGGCATGATGAGGCACCACAGGACACACCAGCCAGTCAGGCCACATCTATCCTCCCTGCTCTTTGCTAGGTGACCTTGGGGAAGCTGAGTCCCTGCAGGCAATGAGTGTGTGGCTGGGTCACCCGGTGGGGTAGGGGTGGGGGTGGGGGGTGTCAGAAAGGTCAAAGAAAATGACTGCCGTCTCCACCAGTCAACACTGTGCCAGCTCGAGCTGTGCAAATGCATGGAAAGGACCACAGCACACCTGGAAATGCACACCTGGGCTCAGAGGGGACCTGTGGACTTCATAACTCTGGTTAGCCTCATGTTAGCTTTAGAAATTGGCATGGAATTCATGTAATTTGTGTAATTCTTGCAATTCATGGATGGGTACCCTGCAGGTTACGTGCAACATGGAGAGGAAGGGGTTAAGGTCAGCTCACTGCTGGCTTCCCACCAGGTGCACCCGGCTCACTGGGCCTGACCGCAGAGTGTGGGGGCTCGCGGTCAGTGTGTACTCTCAGTGCCCAGGCATTGTGGTTAAGGGCTGGGGGTCCTCACCATCCTCCTCCTTCCAAAGGCAGATGCTCAACCCCCACTATCAGGGGATGACAGATGCCCGAGAAACAGGGTCAGAGGAAGCAGGCTCCGTCCCAGGCAGCACCATACAAGGAGGAGCACGCTGCAACCCACAGGCGGCAAGTCGGCCTAGGCCTTCCCTCCCGGCAGGAGGGGCCCAGGCCCCGGCTCTCGCAGGCCTGAAAAGGCTTCCCTGCTCCAGTGAAGGAGATCTGAGAAGGGCTCCTCCAGTTCTCAATGCCTGCCTCCCGCCTGCCCCACCCCCATGCCCGAGGGCAGCGGGAGGGCCCTGGGCCAACCTGTGCTGGAGGCCACGACCTTGAGCTGCTGCACCAGGGGGTTCAACAGCTTCCCCGCCTTCAGCTTGCTCTTGCTGGTCTTCCTCCGGCGGCCGACAGGGGGTGCTGTGTGGAAGAGGCCCAGGTTGGGGGGCAGCGGCTTGCCCAGGCGGCGGTACAGGGCCTCAATCTCCTGCTTCTGCTGACTCTGTAGCTCGGAGATCTCCTTCAGGTGCCTGCGGGAGGGGACAAGAGGGATGCCAGGTGGGCATCCTGGTCACTCCCAGCACACGGGGCCCCTCCAGGAGATGCCGCTGCTGGCCAGAGAGACCGGAGGGGCGGAGCGGTGAGCCCCACGCATTAGCCTGGGCAGATGGGCCGTGTACAGGGGACACGGGCATTTAAACATCACTTTCTGTTTACATCTAAACCAAGTGGGGGTATTGCCAGGGGCCTCCAGCACCAACAGCCCAACAACACAGAACTGCATGAAGTCCAGCCTAAGGAGATTCAAGTTTTCTGATATCCAGGCGCCTAACACTGGTTTTTCATGGTGGTGGGTGGAGGGGTGCGGTGTGAACAGCTTCACACATTTCTGCTCCCAATACAAACCCTACCCATAAACACAAGTGAAGAGACGAATAATCAGTGCCCAGAACTGGAAGGCTGCCTCAGCTATCAGGCAAATAATTGTTACTTCCTCCGTGGGAGGGAACAGCCCAAGGGGCCTCAGGTGAGAGGAAGCCTTACAGAGCAAGCCTACGGAGAACATGCCATCGGCCAGGGGCCCTTCCAGCTCGGGCCGACCCCGGAAGTAACACCACCCCCAGGCACAGAGCTGAGCTGACAGGTCACACGGGTGGGAAACTGCCGTTAAGACAGCTGGAATCACTGGCTGTCGGCCAGGGCAGTTTCTAAAGCCAGGACAGGGCCGAGTGGTCCCCGCCGGCCTTACTCAGGGAGCACGGGGCCAAGGCTGGGGCTGGGGGCAGGTAAGGGGCGGGGGCAGCAGGTGCAGGGCGTGGGGTGAGGGCAGAGCCAGCAGTGGGTCGGAGGCATGAGCCCCTCCTGCCCACGTCCCCACTTCTGGGCCCACTCAGAGAGCTCTCAGCCCACGGCCACCCCTTCCCAAGGACGCGAGCCTCTCCATGCCTTACTAGGTATTCAGCAGGGCCCTCCTGCCCTGAAGGAGACTTCAGGGTGTAGCTGTATCTCAATGACCCTAACCACAGTGGGGGTAGATGATACGTGCAGAGGGAGAGAGCTAGTGTGAGCAAGGCCTGTGTCTGAGCGTTGAGTGTTCCCCCAGGGGGCTGGCCCACTGAGGCCACAGGAGGGGAGGGGTGGCCCCCAGGGACCAGGGACCAGGTCTGACAGCGGGGACGACACCTCTGCCCCGTCACCCAGCCCAAGCAGCTCAAAATGCAGTTGGCAGGACCTGGACTCCTGCTGCCTGATGCTTCCCGGACCCCGGGGCCTGGACCCGACCTGGCCCGCAGGACCTACTTCTCTCGCAGACTCTGCAGCTCCTTCCTGATATCGGCATCCTCGATCTCTGAGTCATTGTCACTGCTGATGTAGGATGACTGGGAGTGGAAGGAGGTCACGCTGATGGTGGGGACCTTCACGCCCATCCTGCTGGGTGTCTCCTGGCTTGGGGAACCAGCCCGAGAGGACCTGTGCAGGAAGGCGGTGGCCTTCTTCACAAAGTCACTAGCCACACCACCGCCACTGCCAGGGAGGGAGGCACGCTTCTGCGCCGGGGACCTCCCGCGCGGGCACTCGTCCCCAGAGTCGCTGGACACGGGCTCGCCCATGCCGACCTCAATGGAGGAGGCTGTCTGTGCCCGCCGCACAGCCAGCTTCACGTCTGGGCTGCGAGGGGCCTGGTCCAGGTACACGTCGGGCGGAGCGGAGTACCGCAGGGTACTGGGGGAGGCCAGAGTCCACTCATCCTGGGTGCTGACCACTGAGAACCGGCCCACAGTTTTGGCTGGTGAGCTGCCGTCCTGCTGCCCCGGCCACTTCCGGGGGGACCCCGAGACCAGAGCGCCGTGTGTCTGGGGGTGGCTGGCCTGGCCACCCTCTGTCAACGTCCCTGGGCAGCCCTGGGTGGACTCGGCCAAGGTCTCCCCAGGGACTGTGCCGGTCCGGTCTGCGGGCTCCAGACGCGCAGGGATGGCAGAAGCAGGGGTATCCTTGGGAAACAGTGCAGAGGACAAGATTCCAAGCGAACCCCAGCAGAGAGCAAATCCAACAACCCACCGGGCGTCTCACTGGAGAAAACTCCTTACCTGGAGGGCGCTGGGCACTGCGGGTGAGCCTGAGGCCACCTGTCCTCCCTCACAGACCAGCATGTTGCTCAAAGATGACTCTGCTGCAGGAACACCAAAATCATTACTTGGGCTGGTGCAGCCAAGCCAGAAGGGAAAGGGAGCCGGCAGGGAGAAGCTGTGTGTGCAGCTAGGAAAACTGAAGGCCCTCCTGACATCCTAGCCGCATCACTTCACAGGAGATGCCCTGACTCCCAGGAAAGGGAGCAGGCGTCAGCCCAAAGCGCTCAGCTCCCTGAACACCCACGCTCCAGACCCTCGGGCGCAGCCAGGCCCTCCACACACCTGAAGGCCATCACCTGTCTCACCTGTCATTTCTCTACACCTGCTGATGTCACCCTGTCTCATCTGACATCTCTATCAGCTGAGGGCATCACCCTCTCTTTCCACGACATGTTCCAATAAGAAAAGGGTCTTATAAGGTCCTAGAAGGATCACTCAATAAGGATGATTTCTAACCCTGCTGCTCCGATGTCCGTGAAAGGCCCTTGTCTTCCGAACCTGTCTCAGGTTCCCACCTATAGAGCAGGGAATCAGCATATTTCTGACCAGCCTTCCTGGGTTGCTGTGAGGAGCAAACAGCAAGAGCAGAAGGGGCTGATGTGTGGGAACCTGGCCCAAGCTGGGACCTGCACACAGCAAAAGAAAGCCAGGGCTGTGTGTCAGCCTGAGCTGGACTGACACGTGGGGGTTGACAGGGGCTGACCGAGCCTCCAGCCAGGCTGGGGGGCTGCCCACTGCACAGGCTACTGATGAAACGTAGACCCGTCTGTCATGCAACCCCAACCCATAGGCAATGGTGACACTCCTCACACGCCTGTGGTTGGGATCGTCCAACCTCGCTTTGCATACCTCCAGGGACAAGGGGCTCATTACTAACTGCCCTCTGTTTCTGGACAGCTCTGACTGCCAGAAGGGTTCACCTTGTCCAAACTAGAAGCTGTCTCCTCAGAGCTCCCCCATGATTTTTGTACTCCCAAAGGCTCCAGCACTCAAAGTGGCTGATGCTGTAGAAGGAAGCCCACGGTGCACACCTCACACTCACACACAGAAGTCAGAAGGAGACGAAGCGGGCACTCAGGTATGACCTCTCAGCTCCTCCCTTCCCCGGTACATTCCCGCTTCACCCCTGACCCTCATCTTCCCCAGGTAAACATCACCTGCTACAGCTTCTGCTGAGAAGGAACACACAGCTTAGAAGGTCAGACAAACTCCCTTGGCCTGAACACAGGAGCCATGGGGGAAACACTGTTTCAGAACTTCACGTGTGGCTCCAGCCTGGCAGCTTCCACACTGGAACTCCCCAGCCCCAGCCCTGCACTCTGTCCAAAATAACCATAGGCACCTTCTTCTAAAGAAATGGGAGACAGGGATGCACATTGGAAAATACTGGGAGCACGTGGGGGCCAGACGGGTCCTGACAACACCCAGTCAACGGGCCTTTTACCCATTTCCACAGACAGAGGACCTTCTCTCCTCGGAGTGTGAACACATGGTTTGTGCCAGAACTCAGTGGGTTTTAACTGAGGCATCATGACAGGCTCCTGCCACGACTCGGTCCCACCCAAGATGCTGCGGGGATGAAGGGTGAAGGGGCAGGATGTTCCAGAGCAAGGAAGGCTGGTAGCATCTGGGGCTCGTTACCTGTCACTGGCAAGGACGTGGCCTGCTCCAATGTCAGGGCCGTTTCTGACTTTTCCAACTGAAGAAAGAAACAGAAAGGAACGAGCTGTGAGCGTCACTTGCTGACATTTCTGTAGCTAAACTGCAAATGCTCTCCTCCAGTCCAAGGGCTGGGCTCCCCCGCCCCGGGCCTGTCTGAGCATCACATGTTGGTGTGGGTCAGGCATGGCATGGCTCTCCAGGACAGGATGGCCTGGGCGGGGGCACGGGGGCTCTACATGGCCAGGGTACCCACTGGCCTGGGCTGGTGTCAGCTCCAAGCCCTGTCCAGGCTCCCACGCAGGGAGAGTGCCTCCGGGCGAGGTGGTACTCACTGCAGGCTGCGGCAGCAGGGCCAGGTCCCCCCTAGAGGCTTCTGAGAGGGGCCAGTCCCCTCTTGGGGGCTCCAGGGTGAAGTCTCGGTCACTGGACTCCACGGGGGTCCCGGCCGAGGCTGAGGAGGTGGGCACGTGCTCCTGGTAGAGCAGGGTTCGCAGCTTCTCATCCAGGCTCTTGATGGTGCTGTCCACGAAGCCCACCCTGGGGGGCGGCCCTTCCCCATCTGACTCCAAGGCCGAGGGCGGCTGCGGGGGTGCGGTGGGCGCCAGCGGGGGGCTGGGGAGCTGGGGGGCGGCCAGGCTGATGGCCCCCACCACAGTGGGGAGTGGGGGAGGGGGCTGGCCCAGGGTGGGCTGAGGGGCCCCACCAGGGGCACCAGACACGGCGGCCGAAGCTGACAGGGGCTCCCCCCGGGTGCTGGCCTCTCTGGCTGACACCGGCTCCCCTAGACCCATGGGGGTGGAGGGGGGACCTCCAGAGATGGGGCGCGAGGCCCTGGGCCCACACCCAGGGGCTGTGCAGGAAGCTGGGTGTCATGAGTCTCCACTGGTGGCCACAGGGCCTTATGCTCAGTGGTCAACCCCTGAGGGGTCCCCGGGCGCCCTGCCGGCATGGCTGCCCCTGTCGCTGGCTCTGGCTTCAGACTGGCCGCTGGTGGGGCCGTGTCTTGGGGCACAGCAGTCACGGGAGGGGAGGATGGCACCACAGGGGCTGGTGCACTGCCAGAAGGGTCCCTGGGGCCCGCTTGGCTCAGAAGTTGTGGACCAGCAGGGAAGCTGGGTTTTTCCTTTGAGGACAGCTGGTCTTTACAAGGAACTGTATCTAGAAGAAACAGGAAAAATGCCTCTGTACCAGCCTACTCTGGTCCTGTTTACCGGGCACTTCACTGGCCAAAAAGATGTCTTCTATGAACTAGACCTACACATCGCTCCTCTCTCTTTTCCGCCGATGCACCGGCTTCCCGCGTGCTGGCCCCTGCCTGAGACACCTTGCACAGGTCCTCTCGCCACCCTGCTTCTCACCCCAGGCTGTGCTCCAGCAGTGCACCCTTCAGCTGAACTAGCGCACCCATCCCTTCCTCCTGGCTTTTCTGTAGCACTGAGCCATCAGGCATAACCCATCACCCGTCTGTTGACTGTCTTTCCACGCCCCCACGCGCCAGGTGAGCTCCATAAAAACACGGCCCTGGTCACTCTTGCACTGGTCAGTTCCACATAATTTTGAAATGAAATGATAAAATTAAGGTGTTTCTAAGTAGTGAACTATACACACTCCCCTGCCCTGGAGTGAGCAAGAACTTCTGGCGAACCACCACCATGCTTTGTTAAGATCAGAAGCTCAGACCAGAGGAGATGGAGATGGAGAAGCAGGGGATACCAAGTTCCCCTCGCCCCACAAACACATCAAAGATACACCTGCATGCCAGACAGTTCCCACTAAAATCACACTGAAGGCTGGCAGGAAGCCTCTTATACAACCAAAGCTGTAAAGATCCACACAGAGTCAGGCGGGAAGTGATCAGGCCAGGACCAGCACCCCTAGGAGGGGACACAGAAGTAAAAGGAGTTACATGGGCTCAGAGATCCTCCCTGGGGAGTGAGCGGTTCGCACCACGTGCCAGGCATCCCGTCCCTGGGGTCCAACACCGGGAAGATGCATCCCCCTGGTTGGTCTGAAAACCAGTGAGACTAATAGGACTGTAAGAAACCTGGCATTCACTGGTGAACGAGGCAGAGGAAGCAGACTAAAACTGCTGAGACTCTGGCTGGTTCCCGCCACTGCTCCAGCGGCGCCCTGGCCCACGCCGAGCGCCCGCTCTGGCACCTGTAGCTCCGGCCTCCCACTAGGTCAAAGGATACCGTGGCTGAACTAAGTGTGCACCTGTGGGGGACAGAGCTGGCTCTGACCCGGCCTTGCATCAGAACGGGGCAGGGGCAGGGGCAGCTGTTGCTGGTGTCCACAGAGGCAGAAAGGGGGATGGTCTGGGGCTCTGACTGGTGTGCGGGGACCGCCCCAGCGCGCACACCGGCCTACACCAGCACCCAGTCCAGAAGCACGTGTTCCAGCGCGGCTCCCCACTGGGGCAAAGGTGCTGCTGCTGGGAGGCGGGGAGAAAGCACACTGAGAGGAAATTTAAAATGGAGTATTATCTATAAAATTTTGAATCAGTATGTTGTACACCTGAAACTCATAATATTGCATATCAATTATACTTCAAAAGAAAAGAAAGAAAAGGGAGGGAGGGAGGAAGGAAGGAAAGAAAGGACGAAAGGAAGAAAGAAAGAGAAAGAAGAAAGAAAAGAAAAGAAAGAAAGAAAGAAAGAAGAAGAAGAGAGAAGAGAAGAGAGA